GGTAAGAATATGACTGTTTTCGACCTATGAATTTCTATTATTTTCATCAGTATCTGTCTGTTTCTTTTTCAGATTTACTTAATCTATTGGTGTTTGCAAAATGTCTGTGTATGAATTCATCCATGTTACATAAAATGGAAATGTGTGACAAAGTGCCCTATAGCAAGCTTTTGATGTTTCAACCTTTTTTAAAGGAAATCTTTCATTCTCTTCTTCAAATGTCAGCCTTGAGGGTAGCATGCATTTTAAGGAGCTTTTTTTTCTCACCAGAGACTATATTTCTAGCCTTCAAGCTTATATCCTGTTTATGCGTAATGGAATAAAATGTGGATTGAAATCTGACAATACATTGGTAACAATGATAGAGGCCAGTTAGATTCTTGATTTAACCACAGTGCCTCACTGTTGTCACTTAATCTGCCTGTGAAATCTCCCTTAAAACTTTTAAAAACCCTAAAAGATTTAGATTTTTTTTTTTTAGGTTTTTTTATTTGAAAGAATTAATATAAAAAACACATTAAAAAAAAAAAAAAAAAAAAAAAAAGAAATAAACCACCGTTCAAAAGTTTGGAGTTGGTAAGGTTTTTTCAAAGAAGCTTTTGAAAAAAGTCTCTTATGCTCACCAGGCTGCATTTATTTGATTAAAAATACAATAGGATTATAAAATATCAAGAAAATACAGTAATACAAAAATATTATTACAGTTTAAAATAGCTGTTTTCTATTTTATTTATAAATATACATTTACAAAGCTGAATTTTCAGCTCTCAGAAAACAACCCAATATACTGATTTGGTGCTCAAGAAACATTTCTTATTCTTATTAGGAGTCCATGAAATTATTATTATTCTTTGATGAATAGAAAGTTCAAAATAACTGAATTTTTTTTAAATAGACAGTTTTTGTCACAATTTAAGTCTTTATTGTCACCTTTTATCAATTTAATGAATCCTTGCTGAATGAAAGTATTAATTTCTTTCAAAATATATTACTGACCCCAAACTTTTGAACAGTATTGTAAATTGAAGAAATTCAACAATTATTATAGAAATCCTTAACATTCTTTTAGAATGTTATGCCATTCCGAACATACACACAGTTTCCTGTGAGAGCACTTACACCTCACCAAAGAGTGAGATTAGCTCAGCTTTCATTTGTACTACTACAAACCCAAAATAATCCCGTCTAACATTGGATCAGCAAGTCACAGCATCAACCTTTTTGTGCAGCTGACTGTAAAAAGTGACAGAATTTCACATAGAAAGGGATGTGATAAGCACCCTAATGCCACTGAGGCATAAAGCCAAGCGGCTTAAATTAACAGCAAAGGAAATAGATTGTGATTTGTAGTACTGTCTATTCGAGATGAGAACTGCCACCATGTTGGTTTATAGTTCACCAATAACTGACTTATTCAGTTGTAGCAGATCAGTCTAAGCAGGGGGATGTGTATCATTCTGGGAAATTAAAGAATAATAGCACTGTCTTGTTAATGACAATAAAAACTTTCATTGGAAAAAAAAAAAAGTCAAACTTTTGAAATAAGAAACTAGTTTCAGTGTTGGTTAAGAGAATGGTGTAGTAGAGAACCTGTCCTTAAATTTTTTTTTTTTTTTTAAACTAAGCTTTTTCTGGCAATGCTTTAATCTGCTAGTGGATTTTTCATTTTGCCTTTCACCTTCAAAGAATGATATTCTTAAGAACGAAAATACTGACCTCTGGGCTTTAAAAATACTGAATAAGTAAGCTGAACATATTGACCTCCCACAAACCTCAACAATACCCGACCCCTCTGGCCAATAGGCTGTCAGCATTTTAAAAGAAATGTGCCTATTTCAACAGAGAACCTGGGGGTTTAAAGTTACCTCCGTCTTCCCTTTGCTTTGACAGGACCTCCTGGTGTCTTCGTCTGGGCCCCATTCTGTTGCCTAGGAAACCAAAATAAACCCCAAAAAGTGACTTGCCGTGATTCGCAGTTGCCCAGCAGCTGTTTGCAATAAAGCAGGAGCCAGGTTACGCAACTGTTGATGATAATATTGCATTTAGCCAGATGCATAAAAAGACATTAACCTTATTGTGGTGTTTATTGTGCAAACAGCATGATAAGTGGGCCAGTGGCTTAAAAGGGTGAGGTAACTAGACAGTTGGAAGACCAGATGCAATTTGCATGTAAATACCATCCCCTAGTCTCATTCAAGCACAGAGACCTCGTCGTCTTCTCTCATTTTTTTCACCAGCACAAGCCACTCCATTTTCCTCTGCCCAATTATGCCCCCTTAGAGCTGTGTGTCCAGCCAACAATAATAGAGACAGCACTTAAAAACTGCAATCCTGCGGTCTTAAGGTGGGCATGTGCACAATCACACACACACTTTCACAAATTATTCAGATATAAGCAAAAGCTACCACATTTGTCTCTCAGCTTGAGGTCCCATTGGTTTCAGATCTTAACTGAAACTCTAAATTTAGCCCATTTGTTTGCATGGCCCACTAAAGGTGTGGGAAGGTTCACAGGAAATATTAGAAACATAAGAAACCTTTCAATGTGGATAAGCAGATAAAGCTGGTATGGTAATGGTAATTGGTTTTGTAGATTAATAACACCATTTCCTCTTACATGACCTGTCATGCTGTGGCTCAAGTGAGCCCTGACTGATGGGACTGAATCATAATTATTCTGAACATTTGAACCTGGCAAAGCAAAGTAGGAAGAGAAATAGACAACTAATCAAAACAATTTATGAACAGCTCTAGACACGAAGTTGGTGTGCTTAAGAGAGATTTGAGGTATTCTAGGTTCATTTTTCCCCCAAACCAATTAAAAACAGCAAATATAGCCCATAATGTTGTATTTGGATTTGATTAAATTGGGCATTTCATGCAGATTGGATAAGAGAGACCAAGAATGATGGTTACGTCAAGACAAAATGAAAAATCTATTAAGCCCAAAAGTGATATGAACATTCGTCAGACTGAACAGAAAGGACATTTCTATGTTGCAATAGGTGGCGCAATGCACCTTTCAGATTATATCTTATTGGTCGGTGAGTTGATGTTACTGGACAAAGAAAAATAAACCAATCTACAAGACGAAAATTCGAAAAGGCTTTGTCCTACACCACAGCTCTCAAATGTCATTTGTATTTCTAAATAGGATAAACACAAGAGTCACTGGCATTTTGTCATCATTGACATGTCTTGACGCAACATGTGAATAAGATTTGAGAACTATTGCAGAGGCAAAGATTTTTTCATCATATTAAGAGCTCGCCAGCAATCGCTTCCATTCACTTTCACCATATGAAAAAGAGCTCTTGCGACAGAACTCTTCAAACCCGAAGAAAGTCATAAGGGCTTGAAACTACATGAGGGTGAGTAAATAATGGTAGAACTTCCATTTGTGGGTGAACTGGCCATTTAATACTGAGAAACTGCCTTGATTTTCAATGATTGCATGTATACATTTAGCTACCTCCTTCTTGCCAAAGTAGTTAACGACACCAAAGTTGTCAGGTACGACAGAGCAACACAGTGCCACACAGATCTGGTGCTCTTTTGTTTGTGTTTGCATTCATGTGTGTTTCAGAACTGAGACATGTTTGTGATGGATGCCTAAGCGGTGAGTCATCGTTCAGGTCATTAACATCTTGTCTGTGAGCCCCTGCTTTCTGGAAGAATCCGTCAGCTTAACCCTGACCTTAGCCACGGCAGTCCCTCTCTTCACACCACACTGGAACAATGCCAGCCCTCCAATGCTATTCCCTAAGAGCATTCTGAAGAGGCAGGCTGTGAAAAGCACACTGTATGCCATGTTTGGCAAAGGCTTGAATGTGAAGTTGGAAACCCTGCCACCAATGGGGGGCCAGTATCCACCAGGCTGTGGTGGATGGTGATGGGAGAGCTTTTCACTGGTGGGAGGTTTGAACCTTTGAATGATAAATTACTTTTGACAAGCGTTATACCAAAGAGGATGAGGTAATGTATAGATTAAAAACATGCAGAGATAATGACGTAACTGTTTGTTCAATAAGCCTGAGTTTTTCAACCTTTTTTGTCTTATACCCCAAAACCCCATTAGTACAGCTCAAGTACCCTGTCATAAACACCAGCAAAAATAGTGGTCTTACTCTGGATTTCATTTAGCTTGAAAATAAAATAAAATAAAATATGGTTATTAATATCGTTATTATTACTACTCATTATTATTATTAGAATGACTTCAAAAACAACTACACGTAAAAATTTGTAATAAAATATCTACAATGATTCACTTTGAAACTAAAAACAGTCAATACTGTGGGTGAAAAACAGACTCACAGTAGCTTCCTCTTAAACTGGAGCGGTTTGAGGAAAATAAGCTAAGAAAGATAAACGACCGTTTCACATCCCTATGATACTTGAATAACAAACGATGCACCATAAAGTAGTCCAAAATGCACTTTTTTCATTGGGAATAGCTGTAAAACTCCCTAAAGGGTATAAAAGATGTTGAAATCACAGACGAGCATCCGTTTCGCCAACAAAGCTGTCAAAGGGAAAATCACAGTGAGGCATGTGTGCTGAAACTGTGCAGTCTAATGTGGCTCTGCAATTGGATCTCGCTGGTCTAATGAGGCCACCGCACCGTGTATGTGCACTAGCTCAGAAATCGCACTCGGCACCACTGTTTGTGGCATAATTACTCAAACTTCATCTGTTCTAATAATGGTGGTGGCACCAAGTGCCCTGCTCCTGGCATCCTCATGAAATAGTATCATGAATTTTTCATGGAGGGATAAAATAGTTGGGATTTATTTATACATAAATTAGTGAGGCACAGAAACAACGCCGGGCTAGAAAATGCATTCCATTCATATCAAGTATTGAGAAAATGCTAATACGAGCACAAGATAGGGCAGGATGGTGGAGAATTACCCAGTTTGCAAGCTTTGTGCTTCCGTTGATAAAGCTATTGTCTCGGTGGCACATTACAAGTGTTATAAATGAGAAGCATATCATGGGACACTGCACCTGTCCTCAGGGCACCTTCAAGAACTTGTTACTCGTCATTAAGAAGATACCATTTTAAATCAATCTTCCTACAATATGGTGACAAATTAATTTTTTTTAAATGAAAATATTTAAATGATTTTAGCAAATGGCTGCAATATAACAAAGAGTGAAAAATTTAAGGGGGTCTGAATACTTTCCGTACCCACTGTATCTTGTTATACTTGTACATGTTACCTGTTTCTGATGCAGAAAAGCTCATGCATTCATGACCTCAAGACTGGACTATTGCACTACTAGGTGGTTGTCCTGCATCTTCAATAAACAAGCTACAGGTAGTCCAAAACGCCGCTGCTATAGAGTCCTTACCAGGTCAAGAAAATATAATCATATTACCCTAATTTTACAATCTCTACAATGGCTACCTATTAAGAACTACTGCGTAGAACTACTTTCTATAAGGCCCTAAATGATTTAGCTCCTGCGTACCTAACTAGTCTTCTACCACGCTACAATCCATCACGCTCCCTAAGGTCGCAAAACTCTGTACTTTTGGTAGTACCTAGGATAGCAAAGTCCACTAAAGGAGGTAGAGCTTTTTCGCATTTAGCTCCTAAACTCTGGAATGGACCTTTTTCACATTTCCGTGTTTCTCAGCATCGGAAGTCGTCATAGTTGGGTTAACTTGAAGAGCAGTGAATGGGAGAGTACCACAAATATATTTTTTGCATTCCCATTTGCTCAAATAGCAAAAGAAAAACTCCACGATAGTGTTTTCATGACTTTCAATAAAAGGAAAAAAACTGAGAGAGACTGATAACGGCAGTCAGAAGAGAGAACAATGTCAAATTTACCATCCCTCCCAGAGACGCTGCATTAGAAACACCCTCGCATTAGCGTTAACTGTTTTTTTGTAATATGATGCAAAGGTGATATAATACAAAGAATAGTGTTATAAATGTACATACAGGATTCAAGGATTTACCGTTAAACGCGTCATCACAGTCTTGTGAAAAGGGTCCATAGCCTTCCTGATAATGTTCAGGGTTCAGACACACATTCTGTTTAAATCTAGATTAAAGACACATCTCTTTAGCCAAGCATTCACATAATTTATCTCATAACCTTGTACTTCAGTTATATCTGCTCAAATGCACATTATCATTTTTTGCTTGGTTTGAACAACAGCTATGCTAATTTTTGTCTATTTGCTTTTCTGTTTCTGCCACGGGATGGGCATCCTGAGGTAACTAGGAATTACACAAACTTCAGTCTGGATCCAGCCCTTACAAAAATCTGAGATGACAGAACACCTGAGAAGAGATGATGAGAGAAACTTAAATTTTCTGTGAAGCTGCTTTGCAACGATTTGTATCATGAAAAGCGCTACACAATTAAAGGTGAATTGAATTGAATATATCTTAATCATACAAGGTCATAAAAACGGCATGCATAATAAAAGTTTAATTATATAATATGAATAATTTAAATATTTACACAGCACAAGGGACCATTATGGATGAATTAAAGCACATATTAAAAAATAAAAAATTCAAACTTGCCACAAATTAAACTTTCCTGGCTAAAATATAGGTCCCTGAACACTGCTAACACTTTTTAATATATAAGCTAAAACATGTATATGAATTTTCTTGCAGACAGTGTTTTGAATTTAATACTTGCCTTCTATTTTCCAACAACAGTCTCATATGTGAACCTAAAGCTCCTTCTAAAGCATCTGCTAAATGTAAAACAACAAAACAAAACAAAACCCGACAGTCGCTTTGTCATTTCAAATGTACTTTTTTCAGAAAATTTCTTAGGATATAAAGTCTATGCAAAATATTCCTTTTAAACAGCAAAAAAATCTTAATCATTATGTTTTTTTTTAATTACACAAAATTTCTTAAGATACAGAATCTGTACAAAATTTTTTTTT